GAATTGTAAACTTTTTGGTTGCAATATGGATTGACAAAGAATCTTCAAAACCAAGGCAACAAATTCCTTGAACAAAAAAAGGATGGCAATGAAAAACATGGGTAGCCACCAACTCCAAATTGAATGATTCAATCTGAATGCCTAGTTATTCAGAGAGGATGAAAAAAAGCCTCTCCAGTAGCCTTTAACTTCTTGGATCTTGTTACAGACTTAAAGCATATAGAAAAAAGCTTCTAAATGTGAATGTGATTCAATGCTAACGATGTCACAACCATACCGGTTCAATTAATAAGTTTCAAACTACATGGTCTTCTGCATGGGTTTTGTCATTTGCTCTTTATAAAATAATCAATGGATACCTATTGAATTATCTTCCAAAACATTAGTCATGACCATACAGAACTTCATGTTAGGAGATACTCAAATATGTACTTTAAAAATTGATTGCTATAAGAAAACCTGGCAGGTTTGAGACAAAGCCGCCTTTATTCTCAATGCTGCCTCGCTCACTATTTGGTTCATGATCTGTAGTCATCTGTACTGCCATGCCCCCTCTTGAAAGAACTGCTCGCGAATCTCCAACATTGGCCACCCATAGCTTTAATCCGTCCATCAAAATTGCTGTTACAGCAGTTGACCCACCACGGCCCAGGTCAGAACTATTTGAGAGAATAGCTTGATCAGTCCTCTCGTAAGCTTTTGAGATTGATCTACCTGGGTCAACCCAAAACTCATCCTAGAACAAGCAGACAAAAATGTGTAAGTAACAAAGAATGCAGGAAAACTAATAAAACAAAACATGTAAACCATCCTTCAAAACTGTGGTGCCACATCATCCCACCTCCTTTAGGATATTAGCAAACAAATGCTTCTGTAGGTAGGCAGGTACACTATGTCCCAGATGACCATCATAAATAGCAAACAGTCCTAATTCGTGTCCTTGAAGCTGCACGAACTTAGCCACATGATAATCCTCCATAGGATGGTTGGCTTTCCCTTTTACTAGGCTGAAACCATACTTGATTATACCCTCAAGGCTTTTTCCCTTCCCAGAACTCGATGATGAATGACCATCTGCAAGCTACACGGCAAAAGTAGGAAAATTAATCTTCAAATTAGTGTTACATTTGGTTAGAGGAAAATAAAGATAGAAAGAAAGTTAAAAGCAGTTCCAACTATCCTCCTGTAAACACTCGTAATAAGTAGAACAAGAGAAATTAGAAGAGAAAAACAGAACACAATTTTCCTTCCAAGCAAGTGAAGCATGAAAGGATACACTTTAGAAAAACGCCATTATGAATAAGCAGAGTAATAACAGTTGATAATAAATTCCCCCAAGTACCTTTCTGGTGTTTGAGACAATTCAATGATTTGATAACAGGTGATTTAATTTCTGAGCATGAACAATTATAAACTCTTAATAGCAAAAGAGATGCAAATCTTGTCTTACCAGAATCCCACAATTCAAACTGATAAGTATCAGCAGCTCATCAAGATCAACTAAAATCATAAAATTTAAACACAGACTTCATCAAAATAAAGTCACCAACAGCTGCAATTTAGTAATATATCTAATGACTAAGCAACCTCTGTTACCCATTAATAAAAGTATGACAGCATGAAACTACTACAGAACCCCTAATAAATACAGGAGAGCATCAGAAATTTCTTTACCTCAGGGTCAGATGCTTTAAAGCAGCATAACCAATCCATAAAAGTAAAAATTCTGCAATACCTCTGCTCAAAATTCTCAGCATCCAATCACCTCTAACCCAAATACCAAACCAATCCCTTCCCCAATAATCAACGTCTGCAGCACAAGAACCCAAATCCAAGCATTAAACATAAACCTTTTAAAGCACTACCCTAAACCCCAATCCCAAACATCCTCCAAAAAAAAAAAAAAAAAAAAGAAAGTGAAAACAAGAACTGGGTATCAGAGAATACCAGGAAAAAGATGAATTAGAAGGCCAAAACTGGCCGAGGTTCTCTGATGATGGTATACCGTAAAGGGACTTTACTGTTTGTTATTGCTCTTCGTCCTTGCCGTATAAACTATAAGTTCAATCAGTTCGCAGAGGCAAAGTTAAAGAAAGAAATGGCGATGAAGAAAGGGAGAAAAAGAGGTGAGGAGAAGAACATTTGAAACCTTTTTCCAAAGGGGCAAATTATTGCTTAAAAAAAAAAAGTATTGTTAATTGTGAGTGCAGGAAAAGCAGAAAGCATGATTTGCAACCGTTTTGGGAGTCTTCTCTGTGAAAAGTAATTAAAGGAAAAAAAAAAAAGAAAAAAAAAAAGGAAAACTGCTGTTGACTTTGCCGTTGTTTCCACTGTTGGTTGTATTTGTAAATGTTGTGTGGAAATGAACTATGCAGTACTTTTAGAATATCTTTTTTTTTTTTGTCTTTTCTTATTTTAAAAA